ATAATTTACTTTCTTTTTTTTTTCTTTTTTTTTTAGAGTTACTTCAACTTTATCAGACCCATGTTATTTCTATTACAATAATTTATATGGTAAATGGATATCCGAGGATATCCGGATAGTGGTGGTAATTGTTCAGGGGATTCGGACATAAGTTTGGGTAGGTATCGTACGGCGCGGGGTTAGAGCTATAGACAGCCGTCTGGATCGAGACATGCCCTCTAGGTAGAGACCCCACGGGACACAGGGATACCCACATCTCTGTGTATAAATATATCTCTATATATCTCGATACACCGGTGGGGTTGCTATATATGTATATATATATATATCTCTATATATGTCTATGTATATATGTATATATGGAGTATATATATATATATATATATGTATACATATATATATATATATATTTATGTATATATATATATATACATATGTATATATATATAATACATATATATATATATATATATATATATATATATATATATATATATATATATATATATATATATATATATATATACATATATATATATATATTAATATATTATATATATAAGTTACAAAATCGATTTAAATTTAAATTTCATGATTTCATTTTTAATAAATGTTGATTTGTTTGACTTTATTAAGGAATTTAGGACTAAATAATCGGTCAATGATATTAGGAGTAAATAACATCAATACCTTAATTCCATGATTTGGTTTAGCTCATTAATACATAAAATATATGTTTTCCTTAAAAAAAATTATTTACTTATTTACAATGTAAAAGTTAAGTATAAATACCTTCAACCCCAACTCATTCATCTCATTCTTTTTCCATACATTTTGTTATAATCACACAAAATCACAGTTCTCACCCTAATATTTTGGTTTTTTGTCTTTATGTTTTGTAATTGTATATTTTTTTCTAAGCATGTTATTTGTTGTTTATTGTTTATTTATATAAGAATCTAACTTATATTTTTGTTTTTGTTTTTTTAGATTAATGAATAACATCGTCTGTGTCATATGTGGCGACACCCGCAAGTGAAAAGTCATGCGATATTGTGTAGCATGCACGATATGATTCAAAATTATTGTATGGATTGATTTTCACAAATTTTTACTTCTACTATTCCATATTTTGGTTATACTTGATATGATTGTAAGTTTGGTTTCAATGAAGAAGAAGTTGAGGTTAATGAAATTGGGCATACAATAGAAACAAAATAATTCGTACATTTCTTGATTTGTAATAGAGATTCATATATGTTCCATTGCATATATTTGAATAAATTTTATTTTATATTTATAGATTTTTGTAACGATATTAATTTGTTCGTCCATTAATATTGTTTTTCTAGCAATTACTCTTTTGAATAAATTGAATTATCCATACTTCTAGGTAACATATAGAACATGCAACAGGTTCATCATTCTACATTCGCAATTATTTTTGTTATTGTTATTGTTATTGTTATTGTTATTATTATTATTATTATTATTATTATTATTATTATTATTATTATTATTATTATTATTATTATTATTATTATTATTATTATTATTATTATTATTATTATTATTATTATTATTATTATTATTATTATTATTATTATTATTATTATTATTATTATTATTATTATTATTATTATTATTATTATTATTATTATTATTATTATTATTATTATTATTATTATTATTATTATTATTATTATTATTATTATTATTATTATTATTATTATTATTATTATTATTATTATTTATTCATTTTTACCTTTTGTTCTTTTTACTAAGCTGTAATATATTATTAAACTTCAATTCATTATTTTGGTATATATGCACAAGACCTTTTCTTAACCATATAAAAATATAAAATACTAAATAATATATGTGATATTTTAATAAGAGATCACCATTATCGTTCCATAAGGTTTGGAACAAATAAATAAATTTTAGGAAAAAATATCATTCTCTTTCTATTTATATGTTATATAATTCAAATGAGTTCTAATAGAGTTTAGAACAAATAAAAATATATGTTGCTACTTTTATTCCTTATAGTTTTTTTAACAATATTACGGTAATATTTATAACTTTATTGATATATATAAAAAAACATTATTGTTCTAATATTTATAGCTTTATTTAATCCATGTTTTTAATCACAACAAAAACATTAATTTTATTGTTATTATTTATTTAGGAAAATGAATTATCTAAGAAATGTATGTTAATGTTATATCAAAATTTTGTAGATTCATTCTATTTGCATAGTGCAATCCGATTAACAATAATACTAAATATTCACTTTGAATACTAAATAATATCATTTTGTGAATTATTTACATTTTTTTTATCTAAAATTTTAATCACTGCAATATGATGGATTATTCACATTTTTTTAATTATCGGTATTGGTATCTGTACTGGTATCGGTATTGGTATCGGTATCGGCATCGGTACCGGTATTGATATCGGTATCGGTATCGGTATCAGTTTAGTATCAGTAACAATAAAAGTATCATTATCAGTATCAATATCAATATTATTATCAATATCAGTATCAGCATTAGTATTCGTATTTGTATTAATCATTTATATTAATGTTAGTATTATTATTAAGGGGCATGCTAAGAGCCTGTTTGGCTAAGCTTATAAGCTCCTAAAAACATCTTATAAGATGTTTAAGAGCTTATAAGCTGTTAAAAAGTGTTTGGTAAAAAAATTACAAAAGATCTTATTTTTTCCAAAAATAAGCTGTTAGGGAGCTTATAAGATGTTTTTTAAAAAGTACCTCCACCCCACCTTTTTTCTTTAAGATCTTATTTGCTTATTTACTAAAACACTCAAAATACAAAATTACCCTCAAATACTTTATAATATTACATGAATAATAATAACATTTATACTATTTTATCAAAATAACGTATTCTTGTAATCAAGATTAATAAGTTAAAATATAATTATCATAATTATCGTAATAATTGTAAAAAATATATTCTCTATTTATATTTTATATGTATATAAAAATACCCGAATATTCTTATTATCTCGATACTAAATTATATTTCCTTTATCTATAAAAACAATTATATTTCTTTTACAACCTTTATTTTATATTAATATATTAATGCGACAAAAAATTAAAACTTTCACAAACATGTTTCATTAAATTATTTTATTACACTTCATTATATTTTAAAAAATAGTTAAATATCATATCAACATACATAAAAAAAATCATTTAGGTTTTTTATTATATAATTCTATATTGTTATTTTTATTTGAAAAATTAATTTGTAAATATTATAATAATATTTTAGGAACAAAACTATTTGAGTTATATAAGATAACAGTTATAATGGCTTCATGTACTTTTTTGTCATTATAGCAATAAACAGACCTTTTATTTCCAAACACATGAACAACTTATAAAAACTAAAAGTAACTTATAAGATGCATATCCAAACACCTTAAAAAATAATTTTTAAAATAAGATCTAACAGCTTATCAGCTCCTAAAACATCTTATCAGATGTAGGAGCTTATAAGATGTTTTAAATAAGCTTAGCCAAACGGGCTCTAAATCCCACACTAAAATTTACTAAATCTCACACATAAATTAAAAAAAAATCTCTCTCTACTTATATTCTCTCTAATTTTTTTCTATGATGATTTTTTCCAAGTCACTCAAAATTCGTTAATCTTTCACGTGAATAATCATAAAAAGTGGGTTTAGGCTTATTTAATATTTTTCAATTTCATTATGCCTTTTTAATTATTTATATTCATATCAATTCGAATTTCTTTCTCAAATTCGAACTTTATTTTAGTTTGAACACATGAAGATTTTTCTCAAATTCGAACTTGGAATGATATGGACGTTTTTAGTGTGTGATTTTATTAAAAAAAATAGGGAAAAAGAAGAAGGGTGGAGAAGGAGAAGATGAGATTTTAGAGAGAAAAAAAATTTCAA